TCCTTGCGTTGAACCTCCAGTAGACTGGAGCTAGTGTACATTACAAACTGCAGACAATCTGGTCTAAGAATAGTCAAAGACACACTGCAACTCACTTTGGCTCCGTTCACTTACATTTACCGTGAACAAATCCTTTGTGTCACACTCACCAATTTGGACTTGTTACGATCAAAATGTTCCATATTTATGAACTATAAATGTTTATATATAATATTTTTTTTTGCTGTGAAAAGACTTTATAAATGTGTTCATTTAAGTGCGACAATACATTCCTGAAATGCACAAAAACACTGAAATACTGATTTGCTGAGAAACAGAAAGGTGGAGGCGGCGGAGGTAAAGACAGCGAATGCTGATGTCTGGCTTTCATTAAAGACCATGTTCTGGCCTAAAGCCCCGTAATCACAATGTGGCCGCGGTCAATACTTCATCCAGGAGCCGCTCCAGTGTGACCAGGGGCCCAGTGTGCAGCCGGAGAGAACACTGCAACTATTGCAGTAACTCACTTTATTTTCACTCTTCAGTGCTTGTGTGTCTTTAAACTGTGCTTAAATACAATGTAGTGCAATACTGTACAACAGTAATAGGCTGCTAATTCTCAGATGTTAGTGTGATAACTCTTCTCTATGAGAAATTAGAACCATTCTACATTTTTGATTTTAAACAAGATACTGGATGTTTATGGGAATAAAGTTCAGCTCCATTTTTGATTGGTACTGAAGGAAGGAAGCTCAAACACATAAACATTACATTTAAACATGATCTGGAAAATAAAATTGTAATCAGTTGGAGTTGAAACAAAGCAGATAGATGCAGCACTTTAGTTAAAGCAAATAGATTCAACACCACCCTTTGCACCAAAATGAGCTTGAAAAACTTGCTTTACATCTGGTTTCATACCAAGGATCTGCCACGTGCCAGTGGATACATTCGCTTAGATTTTTAGAAAACTATAGCATTAAGTGAAGAAGTATACAGTTTAAATGACCAGCTCAGTTTTAACGTAACACACAATGTCTTGTGAAATATCCATTCTTGGGCCATGTTAACGCGGGACAGGTTCCAAAGTACACAGCTTTCCTCACAAATGCCTGCATCCAATTCAATCCACCTCAGTTCACTGAAGTACATGGGCTGGAGGTGCAGTTTCTCTGGGTCCAGACCAGGGTGCTCTGTGGGGAATAGGTCTGGCAACAGCACAGCTCGGCAAGTAATTGGAGTGGTACACGGTTTGATCTCAGCGCAGGTGATGCCTGGATTGTCAGGCTTTATACCCTGTAGGGGGCGCACTGCATGTAAAACACAAGTTGTGGGTTCGAGGCCACCACGAGACCTACTTCACGACTCCCACTGATGCATGCTGTTGTTGTGTCCTTGGGCAAGACACTTAACCCCACTTTACCTGAAGCCCCCACTGAAAGATCTCAGCTCCTGTGGACTCACCACCTGCAGGAGGATCAGTGAGGGGCTGGTGCTCTGTGGACTGGGTGCAGCTCTGACTGCCACCCCCCCGACCCAGAAATGGACCAAGGGGAAGATAATTGATGGATGGCCTCAAAGAACTCTTTAGTTTTGGTGTTGGTGAACCCGAGGTCCTGGGCTGAGCAGGACCTGTCTCCTTAATGGAAACACAGGTATAGCTGTATTTTACAAGATGTCTGTATTTCTGTTTCTTTTCTGTCAGTCTTGTCTTTTGGTGTCTGTCTATGTTTTATGTGTTTCCTCTGAACAAGTCATCTACTGTATAAATTTTTGGATAAACTGCATCAAAAAATGTGAGTAGATTACCTTGAGAACACATCAGTTTTCTGTTCAACAAGACAGAACACACAGACAAATACAGACCGAGTAAAATACAGCCTTCAGAGAGGAGAGCGGTGAGGATAGATGGAGTGAAATGCAGAGCTGGGGAGAAGCTTTTGAAATTGAGAACATAAAACTGGTGTATTGATAATCCCGGCTCGCTGCTGCAAAGCTTAGGGGCCTAGAAAAAACATTAGTTGGACAAATAGACACAAGTGAGCGGTGCGGATGAAAGGAAAGATAAAGAGGTACGCCATTATCACTTCAAACGATCTTTTCTCCATTTAATGCGAAAACAGAGAGAAAATACCTGCTAGTATCGCCGCATTACAGCACTGCGTCAGTCTGCAAGCGATGAAACACCTACAAGGGATACAAGTGAATGAAATTGAACAGTGTGGAGTTAAAAGCAGTTTTGAAGGGTGTTGATAATACGCTTCCCCTCATCGTTTGCTTTAGTTTTGTGTGTGTATGTGTAAGTATAAGTCAGAATTATTCTTTGAGAAATAAAATCCAAATTTAGACCTGGTTGGATCTGGTTCGGTCTTTGTGACAGATAAATTGCATAGACAATCCTACAACCCTTTCATCCTTAGTATGTATAAATAAAATCGGATTTTTTACGATGACTGTATCTAATGTGCAATTATTATTAAGTCAATGTTTAAATGTCCGTCTGATTCTCATTAAACATTGAAAAAACCTTTGCTTTGGTTGAATTTAAACCTTCAAAATTACGAATATCATTGACATGTGGTTTAAATGAATGTTAGCCTGGTCGTACCACACCATAGTACAAACTACATTTCGCACTAAGGTCTGGAGGTGCTTCATTGAGCTCTGTTAACAGGTGGGAGGGGTTAACTCTTTTTGCAGATTGAAACAATTGAGTTTACCGTCACGTATGTAGAGCGCCTGAGTGAGTCGTTAGCCATTAGCATTTAGCCTAGCCATCTCCTTTGCCACAAACGGAGCCCTGTGGGGAGTAGTGCCAAAATCTTTGCCAGCGATTACATTTGCTAAACATTCCTCTTGCTACGGCTTCAATGTCTTGATAGAATCAGACAGGAATACTTTATTATCGCATTCTTTGCCATTGCCAAACTACAACATTCCCGTTCGACGCATACTATTGACGTCACCCGCATCTAACTAGAACACCCGCCTTCCGCGCTCGCGATTGGTCGGTTGAAATTCAACCGATTGTAATCGCAAACACAGGTACCAGACCCAGACGTTACATGCAGTGAAATGATGATTGTGTACAGAGGGCTAAGGCCAGGCTAAATGAATGTGGGTCTTTTGGGGCTTACTTACAAAGGTTTTTTTTAAATGACTATACATATTATTTTATTATTGATTGTGCCACAATAGCATAATGTGACATTTCATTACCCCGATGACATTAAATACAAACATAGAATATTGTTCTGATTTATTTATTCTTATATTCAACTTGAAATGTGAAACCAACAATGATATAGACTTATTTCATGCAAAGTCACATTTCTCCGAGATGTTTTATTTGTTTTTAGTTCCATTGTAACAACCAAAGGCATGATATGTTAAACAAGGTTCGCAATTTAAGTTGAATTAAGGAAATAAATGCACTTTTTGACTATTTTTAGAGTTGACTTTCAACTGAACATGAACAGTTTTAATGATTTTTGTAGTGAATCAGTCGATAAGGACACTCATTTTAAATAATACATGAAGTAAAAACAATTCAAAAAAAGAATCAATCAATTAAATCCTAAAAACGTGGTGTAGAGAATAGAACATGAAAATTGTAGCAAACAGGAATTTTTGTATCTTATAGACCAAACTGTAGCCGGATCGTGGTTGTCCTAATTCTCCGCAGCCGGTTTTTCTCACATTGTGGACAGTGTAATTAGAAGAGTATTACCTGGCAACCCTCCAAACGTCTGACTTCACCTTGAAGTGAAAAAGAAAAGCCGAAAAGGAAGTGCCACTTGGAGACAGCAGAACAAAGACAGTCTGACTGAAATGTGTCTGGGGAAAAAACACTCATCAGGACGTTTCAAACTTAAGAGCAGCAGCTTGAGACAATGTGAGCTACAAAAAAAATACTTTGGAACGAGGCCAATTAAAACAAAGGGGACTCATGATGCACGATCCTCTTGCATTGAGCTTTGAACCGTCCGAGAACATCATCAGACCAGGACCCGCACGACTATTTTTAGTGGCTCCTAATATGATTTTTAAGGATCAATATTCATTTGCAGCATGGATGGTAATGGACTTCCATGGCATGTTATACATCACTTGTTTTCTCAGATAAACAACTGCATTTAATTTTGGTTGAATCCAAATAATAAACACATTATATGACGAATAAAAGTAATGTCAAAATACCTTCATACCTACTTTTTGGTGCAGTGATCAATATGTTTTATTTTTGCTGATACCGGACACATGAATTTTTCCTACAGGGATCAATGAAGTATCCATCTAAAATTCTATCTATCTATCTGAAAATCTATCTAAAAATTTCTAAAAATCTATCTATCAATCTAAAAATCTATCTATCTATCTATGTAGCTATCAATATGGATTGGTTGAAAACACAACTCATAAGTGTGTTGCTTTAACCAAAAGGTGGGTCAGACACATATCTGTCAACTTGCTTGGTTAAAACAAATAAAAAGTGGTGAAAATATTTCCAATGTTGCAATGCCAGGCTGTTTTTTACGTGTTTAGATCTGCTTTTACAGAGAGAAAAGTGAAAAGGAGAAGTCTAACACCTTCAAAAACCTCTTAAAAGTATGCAATAAGATAAAAAACAACCTTTTTTATCTCTTTCACTCTTTCTGTTGGACAAATCCCCAATATAATAACCAATTGTTTCTGCTTTAGTCATTTCAGATCAAGGGCCATTCTAATGTTCAAAACGATGATCCATGCAGCGCAGGCCAAAGCACATTATGTCTCTGAGTAAAATCCTGTAAATTACAATAATTGAACATAACATATTCTGCTTGACATTTCAGATCACATATTTGCATGTAATCTCTCATATAGATTATTGGCATGTAAAACTAGTGGAACAACCCTCTGTCCTACACCACGCCTTGACAAGTGCGATAACGGATGATACATTTGCGCCCTTCGAAGGCAGCAGTAATAGCTTCATTTACCGAGGTGAAGGGGCTAATAAGACGTGTTGCTGGTATACAATGTTTGTCGGATGGGAACATGGAGAAGGCTATAATTTTCAGTCCCTGCATCTCTGTGGAACCATGACCTCCATGAGACACGCCCACACCACTCTCTACACATGTATGTCTGCAGGGGGGTAATAGGATTTGATGTATTCTGCATTTGCCTTCTAACTTATCCCCAAATTAGATTTTCAGGTACATTTTCCTTAGTTCTGACTGCTGCAGAGTGTATATTTACCAAACAACATGGGTAGTTTAGTCTTGAATGTAAGTGAATGGAGGCAAAATGGGTTGGATAAAACAAAACTTTGTCCATGACCACTTCCTTATTTGTCTTGATAGAGCTAACATCCAATTCAGTTCATTGTTGTATAGCCCTAAATCACGGCAGTAGTTATCTTGGAGGACTTTTCAAAGTTGTTGATTCGCCAACACAGATCAGAGACTCGAACAGTTCAATTATAGGAAATGCAGCGATAAAAAACACATTTGTCCATAAGGGGCCAATGTCCATAAATGATAATAAATGTTCATAAATGTTGTTAAAAGTCCTGGATCATCACCATCTGTCACTGTGTCATAACAAATGCCCATAGTTTAAGGAATTTGTCTCAAAAACCAGCCAAGGCCATTCTCTGGTTTCTTCCATCAGGGATCAGGGATCTTAGTATAAGCTGTTGGAATGGATAATTGTAACCAGAGACCATAGAAGAATGAAAAAGCACCAAGGGTTGATAATCATTCCTTTAATATGCCCACAATGATCTATTTTGCATGAGCATGTAAATGTATGAGCACAACTCGACTAACAAAAATGTTTGCATCTAATGTATTATGTTAAAGGCTGTTCCTTTAACATAATACATTAGATGCAAACATTTGTATATAAAAATCTGGCCAAAAGTGGAACTGCAACGTCTCCCACTCTCCCTGACTCAGGTTGCCAGATATGCAGACGAATCCAGCTGGGACCATAATAACTGAACAGACAAGAGTTTTGTCAACAACAAATCTATAACCAACACTTTTTTCACAAAGGTAGAAATTCTCGTTTTATTCCTTGTTTTGTCATTAATGATTTGAGATTCACAACGAGACCTTTTTTAGATCTGCGGGCACATGTTACTTTACTGGTGAGATTAGCTCGACGTTGTGAGTTCTGGCCACCCGGAACATGGACTTTCTGATTGGTGAAACAGTGGAGGGCGGGACATTGAAATGAAAACAATAACAAGATTTAGGGGCTGTAAAACTAATTGTGAAATTCAAACATCTCGGCTGAACTACTGTCCATCCATCCATTTTCTTCTGCTTCATCCGTTGCCGGGTCGCGGGGGCAGCAGTCTAAGCAGAGACGCCCAGACTTCCCTATCCACACACTTCCTCCAGCTCGTCCGGGGGGACCCCAAGGCGTTCCCAGGCCAGCTGGGAGACATAGTCCCTCCAGCGTGTCCTGGGTCTTCCCCGGGGCCTCCTCCCTACTGAAGCTGAACTACAGTCATTAGTTAAAGAAGTATTGGAAAATAGCATGGTTTATTAATGCCTTTTGACAGATTAGGGCCATTCAATGATGACTTGACATGAAAATCTTACATATTGCTACTTTAAAAGAATAAAATATGATTAAAACCCTGACCCAATCATAAAAGCTTGCCTCCAACTTACGTAAAGTTGTATCCTCCGCTTTGCCCTTACCCTCCTGTGTATTTCCATTATCAGTCCATCCCGCCTATCACACTCTCTGCTCACTTAAGCTCATTCATTACCAAAACCACTACTTCCCCTTTACCCCAGAGGTCAGGCTTCTCTCTGCAAACTTATCATCTCTGCTCAAATTAGTTTTCCCCTCATTTAAAAAAAAAAAGATTGCATCAAAAGGCAGAGATGAAAGCGCTTGCCGAATGGACACAGTCTTAAAGAGGGGAATATTAGCATGCTAACGGACGTCCTGTCACGATGAACAGCATTTGCGGCGGCTTTAGCTGATAAGATGATTAACTTTGAATCCATTTAATCGCACAGAGCAGTTTCATGAAATAAGTGACAGTGTGCGGATGTGTCCAAATCACCGGCGGTTCGTTCCCCGTGGACTAAAGTGATGGACGTCAGGATGTCCGGATGGTTCATTTCTGCAAAACCTCATGTGTCTTCATTAGAGCTGCAGCCGACAAAAATTATATTGGTTGAGTTTAGATTTTCTAGAAAAAAATGTATGTATAATTTTTTTCACAAAGTCCATTCTTTTCTTTGGAGATATACTGTATTTAGGAGCATAAATCAGTGTTTTTCAACCAGTGTACCGTGGCATGTTTGTGTGCCTTGAGACTTTGCTTGGTGTGCCTTTGGAAATGATCCATTATCATCAAATGGGTCCAAATAATGTGAAAAGAAAAGAATGTGAGAAGATTAGAACTAATTATTGCACTTGTTCGATTTACTATGTAATACACTTTGATTAGAATTACTTTGCTTTCTTATTAAAGGCTGCAGAGTTTCCATTTTGCATCAGTTTTAGCTGATTGTGTGCTGTGAGAATTTTTTCAGTAAAAAACGTGTGTCACAGCTCAAAAAGGTTGGGGAACACTGGTGTAGATGCAGGAGACACAGTGGCAGTGGCTAGTTAGCGCTCTCACTTCTCAACAAGAAGGTCCTTCGTTTGAATCTCTGTTGGAACATGGCCCACGCAATATATTTAGCCCTTAAAGCTGCACTAACTGACTTTATTTTCGTATTAATTACAAAAATGCTATCCATGTCCATGTAGTGCAGTGGAATATACGTCCTTTTGAAGAAAAAGTAGCGCAGATTTGTGCTGGCGTGACATTATATTTTAGATCGAGTTTTGATGAAACAAGGAAGAGAATGTGTTTCGGGTTGCAGATTGTGACCAATCACAGCGCACCAATAGCCCCCACTTTCGTGAGAAATCTACAGGTCCGTTAGCACAGACAGCTGAGTTAGCACAACAAGCCAAGGAGCTAACCTGAAGCCAAAAGAAAGTCTCGTTCCTCCGCGCTTCCCGGTTCTCTCGTTCTATGGTCACGCCATCCACGTGCAAATCCATATCCATGTATTATCCATATTGGGAGATGCTAGCTCCGTCAACAACAGTGGGTGTGTGGGGGGCGATAGCTTCGTAGGTGCGGGGAGGGGAGGACAAAGAGCGAGGCCAAGCGAGTCCGCAGCTTCAAAATCCCTAAGTCAGTTAGTGCAGCTTTAAGTAGCCAACTTCAGCGCCATCAAAGGTGAGTCAATAAGACCATAATGTTTCCCCATTTCATATCTCAGCCTGAGTCCAGTCCATTATTCTTACAATCCAGGGTGCAAGCTCCTGGACAAGCTTGAACCACTCACTATATGGTTTAGCGCCACCTGCATATGAAAGGAAGGTCTTGTTGGAACTATGAAGCTAAGTAGGGCAGGTTCTGGTTAGTACCATGATGGGAGACCTCTGGGAACACCAGGTGCTATAGTGGGGCGGCTGTGGGTGTAGTGTTCATGGGCAAGACACTTCACCTCCAGTGCCTAGAAGTGTCTGTGGGTTGTGTGAATTATTGGTGATGGTCGGAGTGACCGATGGTGCATTCTGGTTGAGTTCTGCTTGATCTCAGTGTCAAAAATGCAAGTGTTCTTTAAAGGGACGCTTAAAAATCTGTATTCTTCAAAAACAAAAATAATGAATGCTCTCAAACTGATTTTTTTGTATTCATTTGTGTGTTATTTTGTTAATTTTATTTTTTATCAAGGACCTACTATTCATTTTGATGCTGAATTTATTGACCAAACAGAGATTTCAAAGCACTACTGCACTTTCCTGTAAGGTTTTTCATTGTTTTCATTCATGCAGGTCTGTGTAGCATTGTATCCTACAACAAATTTCCCATGGGACAATAAAGTTTATCTTATCTTATCTTAAGTGAATGGCTCTGTTGTGTTTTCCTCAGACCTGGATGACCCCATAGTGACAGTGCACCAGAGCATCGGCGAGGCCAAAGAACAGTTCTACTATGAGCGCACGGTCTTTCTGCGCTGCGTGGCAAACTCCAACCCTCCGGTGCGCTACAGCTGGCACCGCGGCCGCGAAGTCCTCACGCAGGGATCGGACAAGGGCGTGGAAATCTACGAGCCGTTCTTCACACAGGTAACACTGCACTATGGACACGCCGCACACAATCAAACATACAACACTGCATATCATAAACAAAATGTATTCTATATCAATTTATTAAACGGCTCCTCACAGCAGCAGTAGAATGCTCCATTGATTTGAATGTAATTTCAAAACGTTCTACCGGTCATTATTTTCTATAACGGACCTCTCAAAACAATAATGACCGCTGCCCATGGCAACGCACTCTCTGCTTGTCTTTCAAATGTGCGGATAACTCCGCAAGTAGTTCCGGCCACTCCGGAGCTAGCCACGCTCAATCAACACACTTAAATGTTAAATCATAGAATACTTATACGTATACATTCTTCACACACGTGCACGGAAATTTTCTGAATTTTCTGGTCTTGTCTTCATGACAAAAATACTATTTATCTGCGTCAAAAAGCGATCGTGAAAAACCCGGAAGTAGTTCCGGCCGCTCAATAAACGCAAATGCCAATCAATCAACGCAATGAAATGTTAATCGGAGAGTAATTTATACATATCCAGTCTTAACCCTTGTATTATGTTAAGGGTCAATTTGACCCATTTCAGTTTTTGTGTTGATCAAAGTACTTGTTATCCTTTCTTTTTCTTGCTGAAATTTGGTGACTTTTCCTCATCTAGGGTCATGAACTGGTGTGTAAAATCTGGACACTTTGATGTGTAGTGGAATGTCTGTGCAGAGTTTGTATATAAAGATGATGTTGCGGGTCATTTTGACCCAGACGCTTTAATGTGGGTAAATAGTTGTTCAGATCCAAAAAAACATGTCTTATTGACATTGTATTTTGATTGCCTCTGAGAGCCAGAGCCAGGTGTGTGAAGAGAGGGAACTTTCTCACACTTGTCACTGTTCTCATGTCATCTCTTTATGCCTAGCGTACATCGTACTGGTAACTGATTATATCCGTCGCCTTTGAGTTCCTGCCCCGCACACATCGACAATCTGGCGAAAACGGGTAACTCCTGTAGCAGGCCAGTCTGGGGAATAACAGCGCGTACATCGACAGCAACTGGCCTCAACTACAGTGTGTTTTCTGACATGAACTGTAGAGGGCGCAATACACACAATACACACGTGTTGTTGGAGCGCGCACATCGGGTGATATCTCCGGATCTGAGGACAACTAGTTGCCGAAAAGTAGAACACGGGCAACTGACTGAATCCGGAGATCGACTGTTTATCTCCAGTTGTAAGAGCGCTCACATCGAACGATTTCGGAAACTGATCATCTCCATCATCTACTCTCAGTTGCCAAAAGCCACCTTGCAACTAGCTGTCTCCAGTTATCTGTCGATGTGCGCTAGGCTCCAGAAGGATGACATCTGAGGAGGCTTTATCACAGGTTTTTTACTGGGATAGTGATGTAGAGGAAGAGATTTCAGAAACAGAGGATTTTTCAGAGACAGAGGACAATGTTATTGCTGATCCAGATTGTCAATTTTCCTACGATAAGGAGGATTCAGAGGACGAATCTTTGGTCAAGGAAAGAGGAAGGGAGGAAGGAAGGAAGGTAGGAAGGAAAGAAGGGTGAAAGGAAGGAAGAGAAAAGAAGGGAATAGAGGAGGATGAACAGAGAGAAGGAAAACAGGATGAGAAAAAGGAAGGAGAAAGCATGGCAGGAGGAAAGAAGGAGGGAAGAATAGTCATTTTGACCCGAGAGGAGGACAAGAAGATTAGACTAAATATTCCTTAAATATAGCAATGGAATTAAAAATGTCACTTTTCTAAATATTTATATAACCTAAAACAAAGTTGTTATTGGTTTAACCTGTTTTCTTGACTGTTTTGAGTGCATTTACACAGTACGGGTCAAAATGACCCGCAACATAATCAATGTCATTTTTTTTCAACATAATACAAGGGTTAATACAAGTGCACAGAAGTTTTCAGAATGTTCTGTTTACGTTTTTATGACAAAAACACTGATGTAATGCGAGAAAAGGCAATCCCGAAAAACCCGGAAGTAGATACCGGCACATTTTCGGACACATTTGCAGAGGATGGAATTATGGATTTAGGTTAGGTTTATGTATGGGTCACTCACCGCTGATGTTCAGAATTCTTTGTTCAGTTTTCATGCAGTTCCAGAGAGTTCTAGTTTGGAAATTGCCAGCCTAACTGTTGCCAGCATAGCCACGGGAAAACCTTTGGGAACTATTTTATTTTCTGTCATTAAATAAACCTTTCGGCATTCCTAAAAGTGGACTGAAGTTTATGTTGTGTGTTCTGTTGGTATAAAGCCGTATAATAAGCAGGATAACGTACATTAAGATAACGTACAAATAACGTACAAATAAGTACCAACAGGGCGGAGCGGACTGCTTCCGCCCTGTCGGTACTTATTTTCCGATAATGACCTGCGTAATATACGTTATCCCGCTTATTATACTTACATATTGTATTATGCATTAAAAATGACTTGAATTTAGGGTTTTTATGTTTTATTTTTTTCATAGTTCAATTTCTTAGTTTAGTAGAAACCTTCCCTAGTGTGTTCATAATATCATTCCCCTATAGTCCTTTACAGATTCAACTATTTTTTTATGTTATTGTAGATGTGCATAGAGAATTGTTGCTGTTTTATACATGTGATGCGATCTGGGAAAACCCATCACATGGTGAAATTTGACCAACTTCAGATTCTGACACCATCTTAAAGCTGCGTTCAATCTCTTTTCAAATCTGTTTTCCTTTTTTTCATAGCATATCTGTAACAAATGTTATCCTTATCTGAAGTCAGCTTATTGCCACCGTGTCACCGTGGGCGGCACGGTGGCTGAGTGGATAGCACTCTTGCCTCTCAGCAAGAAGGTCCTGTGTTCGAATCCCGGTTGGACCAGGGCCTTTCTGAGTGGAGTTTGCATGTTCTCCCCGTCTCTGCGCAGGTTTCCTCCGGGTGCTCCGGTTTCCCCTACCACTAAAAATATGTACAATAGGTCTGGCATGTGCCTCCTGTACTGGCACCCCTGCTCCCAAAAATAACAATTGTAAACCGCTTTGAGACTCCGATGTGCAGTGAAAAGGCGGTATATAAATAAAGATTACTACTACTACTACTACTACTTATTAACATGGTTTTATGAAACGTATTTTTGAGAAAAACTGGTTTAAAGATAGACATTCTAAATAGAATCACCGCAATCCAATATAAAATGTAAAATTTTAATTACTCTGTTATGGCATACACTTATTTTAGTCACTATGTTGTAAAAGATTACAACATTTTTACTTTGGCACCAAGCAAACACACAACACTCATTCATTTAGATGAAAATCCAGAATGTATTTATTCATTCAACTTTCAATCAATTGAATTTGTTTTATGTAACTTTTCCTCTTCTTTTTTGTGTCTTTCTCTTTATAAGTTACTGAACATTATCTGTGTATTAGACAATTCGAGTTATTCTGTCATTATGCAGTATATTATCAAATCACGCAGTATAAATATCTACGTGCGACCAACATGCATTTTTAATGCAAGAGGAAATTTACGTACCCAAGCTTTAATTGTGTGAGTTTTGATTGCGCATAGGTAGGAGACACGGGGGAGACCTGCACTTGCAACAAGCTGGGGATGGTCCTGAACATGTGTCTATGGTCCGCGCTCGGAGCCCCGACAGAAGTGCGTTCACTGAGCTGTCAAAGCGGGTGTCACACAGCGGCCTCAGCTGCTCCCGGGGTCAGAGCGCAGGATGTAACGTAATGTTGGGTTTATCAAAACATATCACAATTTTTTTCAGAAATTAAAGACAAGATGTTGATGACAAGATGTTTTAATTATTTAATGAAAACACAATTTTGCCAAATAAATGACAATCGACCTATTTTCACTATTTACTCGAAAAGTGCCAGCGCGACATCCGACAGGTTTTCCCAGATCGCATCACATATGAGGATTGAAGTGTTGGTATATTTGATGTTTTACTATAGTTAAAACAAAGATGAATACAAAATAAAATAAAATGGCATCATGTAATAATGTAGAAATGATTTTATAAATGTATGAAGTATGTACACACTACTTTAAAACCAGTAAAGTATGACAGGCAAAGAAATCACTCCTTGTGACAAATACCTAACCTAAAGGCATAAAAACCCAAATTAGACTAATTTGTTGTAGTCTAGGCATCTCTGCTCAGACTGCATTCTTGCATTGTTTGCAGAGTAAAATATTTTTTAAGTAAAACTTGATGCTCATACATCTTCTTTGGACATTAATTTATTCTTTTATATCTCTAGCGCTGTCTCACTTGATTGTAAGGTGCTTTGACTCATGTGTGTTTCTTTACGCTCGGAGCAAGTTATTAAAGCTGCATTAGTCATAAAAGTGCTCTGCAAACTAACATCTCTGACGCATGATTTTTTTAAAACATGCACCTCAGAGCTTGAGAATGGGGATCCTTTTGATGCTTAAAAGTATCAATTATGACTTTTTACAATGGAAAATTCAACAGGTTTTTTGTGTGGATAAGTGGTACAAACAAAGCAGCTATATGTTTCTGTTGAATCTGTCAAGAGGGGAAAAATAAGGGAAGGAGCCAAAACGCAGATTAGATAATAAACAAATAATTAGATGAAAACATATCCAGATTAATAATAGATACGCATAAAAAAAAAAAAAAATCAAACGAAACAAGACGTGGAGAAAAACAACAATGGACAGACAACAAGAGGACAGGAGGACACTGTCTAAATGCATTATGGGAGACGGGTACATGAGGGTACATCAGGGTGGGGCAAACTGTCAACCAACAGACAGGATGTATAACACCGGGAGAGTCCACTGCTCCCAAGGCCTCGGGGGTGGGAGATTTCACTATAATTTTGCATTTCCCCTTTCGGTGTTGATTTAGGTTACACCTCTTTTGCATTTTTTTACCTTGATAGAAAAGGGATAAGAATAAAAACATTTATACTTCTTCTCATTTCCTTTTGAGATCCTGTATTCTTAATGTTTCTTCTCTTTTTTGTTTAACAATAATAA